ACATTATCTTAATTTTTTGGTTTTCTTTTATTGTTCCCCCGGTGCTCTGAGTGAGCTAGAAGAGGGCTGTGGAGGAGAATTTAACATTACAGTTGGTAAACTCAAATCACCAATAACTTAAAAACTATGCTTTTTAAACTACTACTATCTTTGTACGATATGTTTAACAAGAGCTATAAAAGTATTATTCAAAGTTAATGTATATCCTCAGGAACACGGTGTATAAGTACGAATAAAAAAACAAAATAAACAATCAGCATTACTTACAAAAGTACAGTCTCGCTGTGGAATATATTGTCGCCAGTAGTGTTTCCGGACCAATACGACCCAAAAACCTTCAAAGAAAGAGCGTACTCCTTCCTTAAATGCCGGCATCGCATTTGTGATACTCCTGGTGTTGCAAGTGTCCATGGGCGACGGTGATCACTTACCATCAGGTGAGCCGTCTGCTCGTATGCCCCCTTTAACATAAAAAAAACAAATCGCATTTATTTTGAGATCTTACATTAATACCTATTCTTATTTAAACGATCACTCTTCAAACAAAATATTCACAATTAAGACGAACGGTAAATATTTAATCATTTCTTCTACTTTATAGAATCCACGTTTGTTTATTTGTACTGGCTCTTTAATTCGTTTTTTATGAATTATTTCTGCAGAATGATCTGGTATGATATGGTGCTAAATATAAAATTCGCATTTTCTATGATTAATTTCAAGTCCTATTGCGTTAAATTGATCTATATTTTTTTTAAATCATCTTAAAACCGAGGATACACTACCAGCTATACAACCGTCATCAAGGTATCATACATTAAATTTAGAATTTAATTGAGGAATAATTGGATTAATAGCCAAACTGAAAAGAATTGCACCAAGAGGGTCACCTTGCTGACATCCTACGGAGGACTCAATTTCGTCATCGCCAAACAATAATTTAGAAGGGGTACCATAACATTGCCAAATGTATTCAAATATTTCAGGAATTTCTTTTTGAATTTCAGTTAAAAAAGTACCCCTATAAACAGAATTAAATGCATTTTTGATGTCTAATTTTAAAAGAATGTTAATATTAGCTCCGTTAACAAAAGCATGTGCTGCATGTACCGAGTTGTCGAGGTTTAAATTTAGAAGTTAATCTTTCCCGATATTGGCGACAACACACTTTTGAGGCTATTCTTCTGAATGTGCTTCCGACAGCAATTGGAGGAATACCTCCATCTTTTTTTTAAGGGCGATTAGATAGGGGGGAGATGTACGAGGGATTTTGTTAAGGTTTTGCTCCCGTAAAGTCTTTGCAATAAAACTTTGCAAACAGTTAGGGTTCTTTTCCTGTAAAGTTTTTTTTTTTTTGCAAGTTTTGCAAACTTATTGTGAGGGCTAGTCTGTAGTAAAGGCCACCTCCCAGTTGTATTTATGTCCTTAAGCAGGTAGGGATTTTAGATAGGACCGTCGAACCCTCTCGATGTAGTAGGTAGGGAAAAAAAATTTTGTTCGGTCATCTGGTATGACAAAACAATTTTTTTTTAGAGGTGCCGGAGGGATGTAACGTCCGTGACGTTACAACCTCCTTGTTTAGGTAAACTCTTTGCTTTTGCAATGCCTACGGTTGGCAGTTATATTAAAAAGTTAATGTCATGATTTTAAGATTTGAAATAAGGAATCGTCTGTCTTTTGATAGAAGGTTCGATTCAAGAGTAGATCTTCAGGCACCAAGAAAACCTCTCGTATTTAGATAAAATTCTTTATATTCGCCTGAGTGATAATATAAAATAATAACCATCGTCTAGTTGTTTTACTGAAGAGTTACGTCCCCAGGTTCTATCCATTCTGGGTAGATATGGAGTTACAGACGTGGTCCACCACTTTATTGTCTTGTACTTTATTAGACACCCATGATGCGCAAACGTAATAGAAATTTTGGGTAAGGACATCTAGCATCAAACAAGATTAAACCCAATTCCCATGGAATACTAAGGGTTCCCTACCCCCAAGTCAAACTACTACAAGTGACGATTTCGACGAACGCGACGCGATCAAATTGAGACGAAAACGACGCGAATTCGTAGAGGGTGTCTCCATCATCTTCAGGGTGGATCATCGTCAGTATCGCTGACGTCTGCATGAGCGCCAGCCTGCTCTCTCTCGGGAAGTCCGCATCATGTGGTAGTACATAAAACAATCAAGAAAATATTAGTAATCCTTTACACCATTTTTCTTCAGTCGAGTAAGTTAATATTCATGAAAACATTAAATTTATGATAAGTCTTTATACCATCTTTTCATATTTGGATAAATTTTCAAAATTTAACATTATTATTCATTTATTTATTTTTTAACCTTACAGGGAATCGAACCCGTTTCCTTTTTTATAATAAGGGAATTTTCTTTATGGACCTATATTATCCTATTATACATTATTAACTATATATATATTCTATCCTAATGCTGAATTAATCCTATCAATGATCATATTCAAAGTCAATTGAATAATTCCAAGATGAACAGAGAATCGAACCTGTTACCTATCATTCTTATGGTTATTACGATATCAATAATCCACCTACTCAACAAATTACACTAAAGCTAACAATTAAAAGAAATGAAAATACTTTAATGAGACTACCTATTGATCTGTCATAAACAAAATGTGTAAAAGTTCCTTATAGTATGTGTATTGAAAAAAAATTCTAATAAAATGACAAAGTTATATTTAATATGCTTTTGAAATAAAATTCTAAAATGACTATTGTATTGAACCTTATTTGCATACCACCATTGCTTTAAAACATTCATATAAACAAACTGAAATAAAATCTCATTAGTAACAGAATATTATAGTACTATCAACCTATTCGGCATAATATAAATTTTCATCATACACTGAATTATCACTATTCCTTTCATTATTCTTTTGTGTATATTGTCTTTTAAACTTGCACTTAATATGTTTGATTATTAATTGTTCATTATAAAAGTCTACTATCGCATTATTTCGAAGTAAGAAATCCTGTCCTAAGATGAGGTTATGCCTAATATTCTCTACCACAAGAAAATCGTGAATGAATAACGCATTGTCTATCAATAATTTTAGGTTGACTTTCCCTATAACAGACAATTCTTTACCATCGACGGCTTTCAACTTCGTATCGCTTTCATCAATTTGTTGATGAATTCGACTTACTGTGTCTTTTGACACCACAGACACTACAGCACCACTATCAATGAGCCCTACTAACTCCTTATCACGACACGTTATATTAATTAATGGTTTGGACTCACTTGTATATTGATTGCAGTTTTGTAACGACTGTGAATGTTGAACTTCTTCATCAGCCATCGTCATTACATTTTCTTCATAAAACAATTTCTTCGTTTGCTTCTTTGATTTTTGTTTCTTTTTGTTCATGTTGCTGGAACAAAAAGTGCGGGGAATCAAATGTTCGGGAGGGACAATGGGATGAGAAGGGACACTTTGGGAGGAAATAACGTTGATTTCCTTCTCCGGTTCTTCTTCATTCCTCGTTATGTATGAAATTTTCGACGTTTCACAATGAGCAAACGATGGTTGGATCGGCAGATTCCAACTAATTTCGACGCTTTCGTCCTCAAAAATGTCTTTCTTTAAATGCACTTTATTATTATATAACTGAGATTTTTTGTATTTAAATTCGCATTTTTAAAGAACTGTCTAATGAAGCGTTTGTCATCGATGACAGCTCCCGCTTTTGTGGCCAGCTCATCTAATACATAAAAAAAGGTCAATGCTCTTCTGACAAGCCTTGTCTTCGCGAGAAAATTTTTTCCAACGCATTCATCGATGATGGAAATTCATCACAAATTTTCTTTTCTAGAATCTGAAAATTCTCACAAGACTCGTTAATTTTTTTATAGAATAACAATGCAGGGCCACTTAAATATGCCGACAAAACAATTCTTTTTGTATCATCGTTGAAATTATTGATGGCGGCGATGATATTAAACTGACGAAAGAAATCGGTTACATCACCTTTTCCGTCGAATGTGGCCCTGGTCTCGATCTTTATAAAACTACTTCTTTCTTGATTTAAAAATAATTCTTCATTCGCGGTACTTGAATCAACGCGGCGCGTCCACCATATGGAGTTCTACCCAGAATGGATAGAACCTGGGGACGTAACTCTTCAGTAAAACAACTAGACGATGATTATTATTTTATATTATCATTCAGGCGAATATAAAGAATTTTATCTAAATTGAGATTTCTTTCGTTATCAATCTGCTTATAATAAATTATTATGGTGTCGTACTCGGCCGAAGGAAAGGTTCCTACACTAATCTTCAAAGGAAAAGGCATTTCCAATCGTAAGGCACCCTCAAGGGAGTATTCACGCATGTTTTCTAAAGCGTCGTAAGTTCCCAGCATCCTCGAGAGGGCCGGAAAGTTGATCGAATGATAATTTATATCTCCTTCAGCTAAGTGTCCTAGTCCGCGGACCTCATCACTATAAATATTCGTGTATGGAACATTTCTCGTAGCAAGCTCTCTCAGTCTATTAAGTCGTCTGAGTGGCACCGTGTAACGGATTATTTTTTGCGGAAGTAATAATAATAATAATAAATCTTTATTGTGTATGGAACAAGGTAACATGAAAATACAGGTCTTAATACTAATGTACAGTGCCATTTGATCCTACCTTTTCAGGTGTATACACATTTTGTACGTATAGGAACCATTTGAATATTTCTACTTATATTCTAAATATTCTTGGATACTATAAAAACATTTTTGGCGAAGCCAATCCTTAAGTATTTTTTTTAATTTAAAAAGTTTTAGTTCTTTGAACTTGTCTGGTCCCTATGCTAATTATATTAAAATACAAAAGAAAAATTAAGAATGTTCTAAATTTATATTAAACTTAAATGTTAAAATATTTGTAAAACTAAACTTATGTCTATTGAGATTTGACTGTACCCTCGATGCTACTCGCCGTGGCCGCGATCTTCTCTCACTGTGATTATCGTGGACTGATAATCATCCGACGCACTATTGCGTTTGTCCTATTTCTCTGGGAGTCGGAGATGGAGACGAATCTCTCAATTCCAAACCCCGGAGGTAGAACGCGCCTTGCGTTTCGGTTTTCTATCCATGGTCCTGGAACGGCCCACGGATTTTGAGCATTTGATGACTCTAGGCAACACCAGTTGGCATGGCTTTCGTCGATCTGCTCTTTGTGTAGTTGGTATCCCATGATGTATGAAGCACCAAATACTGTGATCGCGTTCGCGTTTGCTGAATTTGGTCTAATAACTAGACTCGTCCAGCGCGCATTCGGATCTACATTCTCTTCAGTCGGTAGAGACTTAATGAGTTGGACACCGTCATCTTCAACTGTAAGAGCGTCCAGCTTTACTTTTTCGTTTCGGAATGTTGGACATCCCACGAAATAGTCGCTGACCTTCTGCAGTAGGTTGATGTTTAGACGGGTTCGTCCGACGACTTCGTCAAATTGGTTGTTACTTATGCCCACTGAATTCAGTAGGATTCGAACTTCCTCTTTGCGAGCGCCTATTTGCCCGAAGTTTCCGCACATTGCGCGTGTTGCTCGGGTGTTCTGAGGTATTACACGAAAGTTTGGTACAGGTTGTACCGCTTCCGATGCTTCTGCCATGAGAACGTCTCCGCTGATACCCAGTGACGGGATCTCTTCGAAGAGGTTGTGGTTCTCTGCGTTCACTGCTGCTGCGTGATAACCTCCCTGACCTTGCACTACTGTTACTGGCAAAGCGTGGTCTGCAAGATAGACAGTTTTACCTGTCGGATCTTTGACCTCACCTATACCTTTTAGGAGCAAGTAGATGGGTTGGGGAATGTTAAATTCGTGCTGCATGATCGCTTTGCAGAATTCAATTTCCTCGTAGCTCAAGTTTGTGTTTCCACGCTTGGCTTTAATGTCGAGTAAGCGTGCCCATAGCATTGCTGTGCTGTAGTACATCAGCATGCCTTTGGTCATTTGCTTATTCAATGATTGGTCGTCTCCTCCGATGGCGGAGTAGACTTCCTCGACAACCTCTTGTAGTCGCCCGTATGATGGGGTGATCTCCTGGTTGACGTTCAGCTCACGTACGGCTACATCGATTCCAAACACCGAGTCAGCCCACATGGGAGCGTTCTTGGGTGGAGTCGGGTTTGCAGCTTTGTCCGTCGCTGTTGGTGCAGGCACTTTCGGCGTTGCCGGGCCCTGCTTTTTGGCGGGTTGACCTTCTCTTTTCTTTCCAACCTTAGCTGGATCGAATTTTTCGGGTTTCCCTCTATAGCCTGGGGCTATCTTTTTAATCTCCTCTGGAGTGTAAATTTTCTTGTCTTGGGTTTGCATTTTCAATATATTCTCTTTAGCGTTCGGCGTAGTATTCCGAAGTCTAAGGGATTCGCATTAATAACTTGGACAATCTCTTGATAAATCTCCATTAATGGGTTGCCTTCTGCACAAGCATGGAAATCCCTCAGGTCACGTAGCATCCCGCTCTCAGAAAGTAGCTTGAAAAAAGACGATAACGGGCCTGCGGAGGGTAGCAAAAATTTGGCTATTTCGCTCCGTGTGAATGATTCTCTGTCAATGTGATAATGGTCGACAATCCACTCCCACGTTTGATGTTTCGCACGGGACGTGATACAATCCCGCATAATCCCACATTCAGCTTTTACCTGGATGTCATAGTCAGATATTCTAGTCCCAATGCTTTTTGAAGACAGGGACTTGAGCATATATAGCAATGTCTTTCCTCGCAGGGTCGCGATGACGGGTGTTTCAGAATATTCAGAAAACAAATCATTTGCGTCTCGCTCTGATAGCCTTAAAGAAGTGTACCAATTAAGTTCGGTATACTGATTTAGGGATATATAAAACTCCATAAGCCTTCGGCTGAGATTCTGGAATATGGCGTTAACTCCTACCATAGGAGTACGCTGCAATTTCCCTTTGTTCAACGCGTTGAGGAAATCATAAATCCCGTAACGAATCAGCCAATCATTGAAAGCCTCTGCAGATTCTCCCGTTTCTATAGTCCTTTTGTGCGCTAGGTTAGTAGCTTGAAGCTGCCTACGTTGACAATGTATATAAGGTACTGAAGGGGGAGAAACACCATATCTCTCCATTCCTCTCCGTTCCGCCACCCTCCTCCATTCTCAGTAGTGCGTAACAAGTCAAATCTGGTTAACCGAGCTTGGGGTACAGGGACGACCCTATCAAGGGGATTGACACCCTGCCCTCGTGCTCCTTCGATTATCCCAGCCTCGGTCCCAGCGTTTACTATAGTCTGCTCGACTAAATGCAGGGTTCGGGGGGTAATACTATTCCATCTAGGTTCATTGCTGTATGAAAGCAATAATTTCGCTGCGAGCCCGGCGAGACACCGGGTGTAAGAATCATCTGCTCCCAAGTCATCCATATCTATATTGAAAAGTATGGCACCGGGCATCAGCAAGGAAAGGAACCACGCCGCAATCTCGTCGTTCATCGCAGGGTCAAAACTCACATTCGCGAGGGTATTAACGCACGAAACTCTTGTCGCAGTTTGCGTTCCCAAAGAGAGCAGTGTGCTGGGGGATATAGCTTCTAGGGTTAATTCAGGGAGAAGCAATTCCCCGACAAATAATAAGGAGAGATGGACTCTCCGGGGGATATGTTCAAACATTAAATTGAGGTTGACGGGGTTCGCAACCGCTCCGATAAGTAGATTGTTAGTTTGAGGTGTAGGGATCTTCTCTGGCAGTATGCCTTCTCTGACATGTTCGTGCATCTCTTCAAAAAGTTCACGAAGATTAGGTATTACGTTTCGGTGAATTTCTAACAGGCGACTTCTCACGCCCGAGACGTTACAGCCTCCTTGTTCTGGTATAGAACTCCATGTATCATCATGAACGTATCATGAACTCCGGTATGGAGTTCCACCCAGAATGGATAGAACCTGGGGACGTAACTCTTCAGTAAAACAACTAGACGATGGTTATTATTTTATATTATCATTCAGGCGAATATAAAGAATTTTATCTAAATACGAGAGGTTTTCTTGGTGCCTGAAGATCTACTCTTGAATCGAACCTTCTATCAAAAGACAGACGATTCCTTATTTCAAATCTCAAAATCATAACATTAACTTTTTAATATAACTGCCAACCGTAGGCATTGCAAAAGCAAAGAGTTTACCTAAACAAGGAGGCTGTAACGTCTCGGACGTTCCATCCCTCCGGCACCTCTAAAAAAAAAAACTGTTTTGTCATACCAGATAACCGAACAAAATTTTTTTTTCCTACCTACTACATCGAGAGGGTTCGACAGTGCTATCTAAAATCCCTACCTGCTTAAGGACATAAATACAACTGGGAGGTGGCCTTTACTACAGACTAGCCCTCACAATAAGTTTGCAAAACTTGCAAAAAAAAAACTTTACGGGAAAAGAACCCTAACTGTTTGCAAAGTTTTATTGCAAAGACTTTACGGGAGCAAAAGCTTAACAAAATCCCTCGTACATCTCCCCCCTAACCTTAACTTTACTTTGCATCGACATCAGTCGGCAAAAACAAAAAAACAAAGCTAACCCTAGCTATTCCTTAAATTACCCAAGCAATTTTTATTTTATCCCATCTATCAGCAAAACTTTACCCTATCCCATTTATTAAACCATTAAATATCAAGAAAATTTATATTTTGAAACTTCATTACTTCCCATACTAAGTAGATGTACGAAACGAAATTCAAACTATTTCCTAAGATTCGTGAACATTAACTGGATTTGAGCAAAACCTAAAAGAATTTATAATTAATGTTTACTTTCGTACATCTTTAATAAAGATACAGACGTGGTCCACCACTTTATTGTCTTGTACTTTATTAGACACCCATGATGCGCAAACGTAATAGAAATTTTGGGTAAGGACATCTAGCATCAAACAAGATTAAACCCAATTCCCATGGAATACTAAGGGTTCCCTACCCCCAAGTCAAACTACTACAAGTGACGATTTCGACGAACGCGACGCGATCAAATTGAAACGAAAACGACGCGAATTCGTAGAGGGTGTCTCCATCATCTTCAGGATGGATCATCGTCAGTATCGCTGACGTCTGCATGAGCGCCAGCCTGCTCTCTCTCGGGAAGCCCGCATCATGTGGTAGTACATAAAACAATCAAGAAAATATTAGTAAAATTCTTTACACCATTTTTCTTCAGTCGGGTAAAAAATAACAAAAATATCAAAGAGAATGAGATCAAGTACTTAACCTATTGTGACAATGTTGATAGTGGTATCGATTCTGGCATGATTCTCTTAATCTTAACCTTAAATTTGACAACAGTGTATCCTTGTCATTCTCCGTATAAAATGAAAAGGAGAGACTGATCTTAAATTTAGTTTTATGTTTAAATAATCATGCCAGAATCGACACCACTGTTTTTTATATATTAGTTAATAGGGGGCAAACGAGCAGACGGCTCATCTGTACCCTTGGCACGGCCCTATCATCGAACTCGAACAGCTCGCAAACCGAAATGTCAATGTCAAATTTGGCATGAAAACTTGAAAATTAGCGCCATATCGTACGTAAGAGAACTAAAAATCAGTACACATTTGACAATAACATTTCTTATTCGCAAACGATACGAATTCGATGTTGGTTTGCTAAGGGTACTGATTTTTAGTTCTCGTTACGTCCGTTTACAAAATATGACAATGACATCACGGACTCGCAAACCACTCGAACTCGATAATGGTTCATGCCAAGGGTACTGATGGTAAGTGATCACCATAGCTTTTTTATGAATCCAATGTGCTAACAGCTAACTAATAATTTCATTTAAAATTACAAAATGAAGAAAAGTTATAAAATATTTATTTACGGATCTACGACTACAATCTACTACTAATACCATCAAAGTCATTATAAAAGAATCACACACGTCATCATTGTTACAGGACGCGAAGATTTAGCTAACAAAAAGGTTTGTAACCTATGAATATTTTGAAGTAAATACTTCTTTAGTATCGTTGCGACTTGAGATTCGATGAAACGGAAGTAGAGTATATGGAAGTAAAGTATTTGACACGAGATAGGTAGGTAGGTGTAACTTTGTAGCACGTCGCACGCAATAGACGGATAGCTGAACGAAGTCGGTCTTAGGGTTGATACCAAAAGATCGGTAATTCGATGCCGAGCTCAGTTGATGGTTTTCACTAGCGCTTTTAGCAATTTTTGGAACATTATTAAAGATTTAAGTTTGCCCGGTACATTACAATACCTGAATGGTGAAATATTAAACGTTCAGTTGGTAGTTAATATTAATTATTAGCACAGCTCTGGCATTTTGAAATGAATTCTTCTAGTAGCGTTGTGACTTGAGATTCGATGAAACCTTTGAGTATCTATAAGGATGAAACGGAAGTGGAGTATACGCAAGTAGAGTATATGCCACAAGTGTGTCTACGCAACAGGATACACATGCTAAGTTAATAATGTCTCCTTGTTTTTTTTTTATTAAAATCGCCTCTATCTAGTGCGTCTAGTACAAATACAATACAAATATATTTATTAAAATTTACATCATACAGTCAGCTTATAACCATGGGTCCCACACTAGGAGGTCCTGTATCGTGGGCACCTAATGAATGTAAAAAATAAAATATTGCAACAGATGAAAAGTAAAATTACAGAATACAGGAACTAACTTTTTAACTACGTCATAAAGTAATAAAGTGTGTGTATGTGTGTGTGCTTGTCTGAACCTATGCATGTAGGACGGTGAGAGCCAAGGACTTCGGCTAAAAAAAATCCAATACTTGAACCCTTTAAAATATCGGCCTTTGTTACTGATAATATCGTCAATTCAAGATTAAACTTTTCACTGAATACATCCCTCGCTTAATTATATGAATTTTATTTTGACTACAAATATAAAATCGTTTCTCCAATACAAATTATACTATTATTGGATAGTACAACTTCGACACATTGCAGATATGAAAACAACCAAATGTGTGTAGATAGCACTAGTTCAATCTATATTAACCTACTGCCTAACAAGCTGGGGAGGTGCATCAAAAAGTAATCTAATAAAACTGGAAAGGGCGCAAAGACTGATTTAAAATGTGTACCTTTTCAAGCCAAAACTTTTCCCGACCTCTAACCATTACAATACAGCTGAAGTCATTACGGTAAGACAACTTTACATACTGCAGCCACACACACATCTATCATACTCTCTTTTGGAATCTTCATCTTAAAGACAATATAATGTATGCAAATATCGACTTTTTGTCACATACTTTGTTCATAGATTCTTCTGCTTTCAGGCGAGTCGACTCTGGTGGACGCGTAACACAAATACGAATTTTTTTGGGAACTCTTTTTGTCTAGTAAGTTTTCAACTCGTTTGTTAAAGTAAGTTTGAACTAATTATATTCCTTTGTATAATATAAATGAGAAAAATAAATAAAACAATAAATTATTTATTAAAAGATTAATTGATGTGTAATATCTTTCCTTTTGCTTTCCTGCAATTGTGGGAGTGATTTCGTGAAATGGGACGGAAGTGTGTAACAGGGAGTCGCGAAAGCGTGCGATATTTGATTTGATTTTAGAACATAATGTTCAAATGGCTTATTCCTTTTGTAGTAGGTTTTATTTCTTTTTTACTAATATAATGTGAGGTTTCAAATGTTGCACAACATACGCGACTACTACACACATCAAAAGTGTCTAGGGATCAACATATATTTTTGCAATAACTTTTCTCCTGATTGATATTAATTAAAATTTTCTTTAAGGATTCATCAAATAAAGTGTTTTCGTTTGTCACAGTAACGATAAACCAAGTCACCTTTGCATTAATAAAGAAATTTGCCATTTTCCTAATAAAGGGATTTTTGACATTTGAACCACTAACACAAAAGTTCGAAAAAAAGACTGAAATAACAGTTTTCTCTAAAATTTTATTGGGTAACTTAAACAATTAATAATCCGTATTTCTACCGCGAACACTAACAACACAAGAACATCGGTTTGGCATACTCAAAATGAGTTCATCCAAATCACGCTGTGGAATGGCCGCCCATGTTCGTTGCAACAACAAAAAAAGGTCTTCTTGCGACTGGATACCCTCCATATTCGGCAGAGCTCTTCTCTGTAGCATATCCCATGCATGCTCAATCGCGTTCAAGTCTGGCGACTGAGCAGGCCAGGGCAGGACATTGATGTTAGCTGCGGCGAGAGTCTGTCTTACAACTCTTGCGGTGTGCGGTCGTGCATTATCATGCATTAACTGAAATAAGGGACCGATTTGCACTTGTAGAGGAACGATGACGTCTGATACAATCGTCTCAGCATAAATTTGAGCGTTGAGGTTGCCTCTGATCCAAATCAACTCAGTTCTTCCGCCGATCCAAATACCCGCCCATACCATGATGGTTCCACCACTATAAGGATGGACTTCCTGGCAGGATTTTAATCGCTGTTGGCGTCCAGGGGTTCTCCAGTGTCGTATACGTCTTGTATCCGGTCTCATACCAAAACGAGACTCATCAGAAAAGCACACGAAACGCCATTGTTCTTCTGCCCAATTTCTGTGTTCAAGAGCCCATTGATATCGAATCCTACGATTGTGCATTGCTATAGGTGGTACCCGTAGCGGTCTTCGGGAATGAAGGTTCACTTCATGCAAGCGGTTTCTGACTGTTTGGTCGCTAATTAAGTTCCCTGAAGAGTGATGAAGCCTCACGGCTAACATCATGGCGGTTATTGTTGGAG